TTTCTGACGCCCTGCCATTTAGTTAACCCATTTTGGGGTCACCACCTTGTTTGACCACAGCCAAATGACGCCCGTTTTTTGTCACATCCGAATCTACGTGGACCCCGGGTACATGCCTTCAGGCCATCCCTGAAGGAGGAGACCGCTTACGCGGCGTTGCATCTCGCCTGAGCGGGAGATGCGGGTTCTGTGATGCCCTCATGCTTGTGTCAGTGTGTGTGGGCATTTATTATACTTACACATGAGTCTAGATATATGTATATGTGTACGTGAATTATATATGCAATTGTATTTATATATATATATATACATGCATATACTATATATTATGTATGTATATATTTGTTTATAGAGACATGCATTCGCTGGTGTGACATGTACGCTGTGATGCACGTATGATTATATTTGTGACATGTATGCCATTTATATATATACATATGCGATGTTGAACAGTTCGATATGTCGTGGATTCGCATCTCTCAACGACGGAGTATGCACTTGGGCTTTGTGCGTGGCTGCGTGTGGTTTATCTATGAGATAGTCCACAGGCTCAGACACGAAGGTATGAAGACCACAGCAGTTTGTTGGTGCGGTGCGGGGATTCGGATATGGGTGAGATGGATAAGTAGCTTCGAACAGCTGCGGCAAATTACGTGTATTCCATATCATTTTCGCGTCCGTGTATGTATTTCCCATACAGGAGCCGCTGAATTAATAGAAGCTGACTAATTAGGCCTCACCAGGCAAGCGACGGCGAAATCCGTGCTTCGAGACAAGTCCATGTGGAAAGTTCCTTTCATTTTGAACAGCTCGAGCCGATTTAGGGTGGCCATTTCAGAGTTCCCAAGTTGCCCAGGACCCCTCTTATCCTATGGTGATTTTGCAAAAGCACATGGGAAAGGCCGAGCAATGGTAAACGGCCCTGACACAGCGCAAAGCTTGCCATGTTTCAGCAAATGGGCGAGTTGGCAGCCATCTCATAATTTGATGTGGTTATGCATGCTTGAACCCTGGTCTCACCCAGCTGTGTTCCCATCAGGTCGCAGGAATGTGAATTGCCTAAAGCAGCGGAAACTGCAAAAAGCTCGTGTTGCCTTCGTGCGAGAACTGTTGTCAGTTTTTCTTGCGGCGACATACAGAGACTGGCACACACACACACACACACAAACAGTGAATCGCACAAACAGAGACGTGGAGAGACGAAGACAGATGCACAGTGTATACATATATATACATATATATACATGAGGATATGCATACACGCTCTGGAGTCACCGGGGTCGACATTTAGCCGCAAGCCCTGTCCTTCGCCCAGGATATCTCGGAGTCCTCGCAAGAGCTGGAGCTGATGGATGGCAAGATCGCGCCCCATGGGCGAGGTTTTGGCGGGGAGGTCGTCTTCACCTGGGGGGGGAGGTTTTGGCGGGGAGGTTTTGCAGGGTTTTGGGCGGGGTTTTGGCGGGGATTGACATCACCCGTTTATGCCAACCAGCGCCCGAGTCCCAACTGCTTAGACAGAGCTTGGGAATTGAGACAGTGGAGGTTGGCAACATGTATGCCAACGTGACTCTTTGTGTCGCCAGTGAGCCTCCTGTTTCGCTCAGGGTTACTTGGGACCATATGTAGGGCTAAAGAACTTAAAATACTCCCGGGTTCCAGTTGGTTCCCCACTTGACAATACGGCAGCTTCTTGGGAGAGGTTGGAATGGTACTGAGTTTGAAGCACATGGGCCTTTGAATTCCCAAAGGCTTGCCAGACCAGCAGCAAATTCCGGCAAAACAAATCCGGCGCGAGCTTGAATCCGCGCTCCCTCCCAGCTATGTTCAGCACACTTTTGACGGAAAGCAAGCAATTCATGTGTGGCTTCGTCCGTCTTTGTCGCGAGTGAGTGCTTGTTTTTGGCGGTGAGACTGACTGAGTATACTTGCGGCCCCACCCAGTCGCTCAATGAGTGGTTTTGAGTTGAAAGCTTTGTAGGCTCCCAAAGTAAAGTCTCCAGGTAATTGTACACTCCCATTTTTGGCAGGCTACCTCTCGAAAACTGGGCCGAACACAAATTAATAAAAGACGAACGGTGCACGTTGCGTAGCAGTGGAGAATATCGCATCCCCGCTTCGAACTTGGCATTCCAGCCCCGTGGAAGTCCATGTCTGAGTCCGGTTTCCCTCGGTTTTATGGGAAGAATAGTCAGGCAACCCTTACTTGGTGTGAATTTGAGCCGCTGGTTCTTGCCGAGGGAAAGTGAATGGGAAGCCAACCCCTACCCTTCAAACAAAGCCAACCAAGCCTAGTAGAAGGAATCTGAAATGCGTGACCTTTGCTGGGGAACTTTGACCTTGAGCCAAAAGCCATAGGGACCCCTTTTGCCGCATACCCATTTGGGTGTACTTGAATTTGGATTGGAAGACTTCACTACTTTGAGAACCCCCCCAAAAGAGGAAAGATATCATTTCAAAGGGAACCACCCCTCATTCACGTACAGGCCTCCTGACTAACTAGGTTTTCCAGAAGTGCCCTTTTACCAACATGTTTGGGGGAGGGTTCCCTAAAATAGACATCCTGAAAAGAATCGGGTACGGACCTAGCTAATTACCCTGTCCACGTTGCCATGGAAACCCAGAGGGTCCCTTTCAACGGGAAATCGTGTTGGATCCCGAAAGTTCCGATTCCTTGCTCATCTTGCTGGTGCAATAGGTAGGGACTGAGAAATGGAATCAACCGGAAGAGGGTCCCCTTAAAGGAATCCACCAGCAAGGGATGGTTTTTCTGGGGGGTCGTTCCAGAACTCTCGTTCCCATATCTCGCACCAGCAGGGTAAAGTGTGTTTGGTCGGGGGACAAAGTCTGGGTTCTGTTCATTTTTAGTCGGGCTGCAAAAAACCAAGTTTGTTGCTACCATACCAAGGGTTGTGAAAGTCGGATTCCATGTCACTGGATGTCAGCCAGGCCCCACGAGAAAGTGGAGTGCATCGATAAGGCGCGCCATCGACCCGAAACCGCCGAAGCGCCGAAAGTCTGAGTCTCCACCAGCACCCGGGTCAACGGCAATGACACGTAGTTTGGACATGGCTGAAACAGCCGCCGGGCGCTGGAAGGCTTCAGGCAAAGATGGGGTGGGTTCTCAAAATACGAATTGGTCCCCCTACAATGGCTGGGTTCTTTTGGTGTCCCTTTGAATACCAGCGGGGCGTTTCCATTCTGAGGAGCTCCCAGATCTAGCGGAAGGAAACTCAAGGCGATGTGAGGGGCCCTCAGTGAAAGAAACTCACGCTCCCTGGGGCGCTCGGGTGCTCGGTTCGCCAAGCTCGTAGGTTGGTAGCCTGGGTATGGCTCAAAATTCAACCACCGGACCGCGGGTTTGGGGTACCTATTTTTGACCCACGGCCAGGTCACCGTTCGGTGGCTGTGGCTCAAGAAACCGGAATTCCAAAATGGGTGGCCCTGGTAAGTGGAAACATGGACGAAAACCTGTGGCTTGCCCCTCCTGTTTAATTTTGAGCCACACCCAGGTGACAACCCACTTATGAGTCCCCCATTCAGTATTCAGTGGGGTCAACCTTGTATTGGGGGGTTATACCCCCATTGGCTAACCACGTACTAACTTGGCAAACATCCAAGTGGTACATAAAAAGCTTGGACATGTTTGAGACACTCAGGAAGCGAGCTGTTCTGTAGATCAACACGGGAATCGTTGGCCAAAGTGTTCGCTCTTTCCATGGCTAGGCCCACAGCCTCTTGCAGAAATGCATCGCTGACTCCAAGCGAAGCGCGCCAGGGTTGCTCAGAAACTGCAGTTGCGTCGAACTCTCTCTGTCAACTTTACCATGGACTGCCCCAAAACGAAGAACTGTTTGTCTGTGTGCTTGCCTGCCTGCCTGCCTCTGCTTGCATGCCTTTGCCTCTGCCTCTGCTTGCATGCCTCTGCCTCTGCCTCTGCCTCTGCCTCGGCCTCTGCCTCTGCCTCTGCCTCTGCCTCTGCCTCTGCCTCTGCCTCTGCCTCTGCCTGCCTGCCTGCTGCCTCTGCCTCTGCCTGCCGGCCTGCCTGCCTGCTGCCTCTGCTTGCATGCCTCTGCCTCTGCCTCGGCCTCGGCCTCTGCCTCTACCTCTGCCTCTGTCTCTGCCTCTGCCTGCCGGCCTGCTGCCTTTGCCTCTGCCTTTGCCTCTGCCTTTGCCTCTGCCTTTGCCTCTGCCTGCCTGTCTGGCTGCTTGTCTGCCTGTATGTCTGTCCGTCCGTCTGTTTGTGCATATTGATCGGTGGGTACCTGTCTATCCATGACGACCTTCTCGCTCTTGTCCTTGGCTCATGCTCGCGATGCGACTCTGCTCGCCTCGCGTTGAGCCAGAGGAGCGAGGCGGATTTCTTTTCCTGACATGCGAGTAGGGCTTGATCTGGTTGAGTGCAGCTGGTGGTAAGAGAGCCAACAAAAAGCTGGGGGTATCCAATTCCTATTTTCTAGAGGGAGCCTTTCGGAGCTACCGATCGGAGTTCTGCAACTTCCACCTGCTGAAATGAAGATTTGTTATTTCCCCTTATTGGTTTTATGGGGAATCGGTTTAATTTTTTTCCAGGGGGCGAAAAGGCAAATGGAAAGCTAGGACCTGGTAGAAGGCGATCCCTGTGCACGCCTCACCGGTCAGCCAGTTTCTCACTTCCCGAGATCCTCGACTTTAGTCACTTGGGACGTTGGTAACAAATAGAAAGTTCAAACTTTCCAAACCGGCCCTCCCATGGAAGTGAGGTTTGCCGATTTGTGAGCGGGAGTTTTCAGAAAGAGTCAGCTCATCCCTTTTGGCCATTCTGTGGACTGTTCATCCCGGCCAGCAACCCCAACTGCAGGACACTCTGCCCCAAATTCAGAGCTGTGGCAAGATTCAGGACCCCTCTCATTTGGGGGTCCGCACATGGGTCAGATGTGTTTAGCGTGCCATGCTGGAGGCGAACCTTGACATGAATGGAAGGCGCCAGTGGAGTGAGCTCCAGGTACAGTGGATAGCACCGCAGCTATTTGGCCCAAAACCTCCTGTTGGGCAACATCCCAAGTCTTCTGTGGAAAAGGCGGACGAGAAATCTCGTCTGCATCGCTATAAGAAACACAGCTTTCCAAGCTATGGCATTGGTGGAGATGAGCGCGCAGTCCCTCCAGTTGGTCTACTCGCTTCTGGCTCCCCTTTGGGTTGAGCTCTCCTTCCTCCTCTTCTTCTCCCTGGGTTACTTCTACCTGCGCACCATGGCCTTTGGCCAAGTTGCCCGAATCCCCCCAAGAGGACCTTGGTGAAAACAAATTCTAATTCAGCTTCTCGAAATGAGACCGACAAAAGGCGACCGACCTTTGCTCTAGATCTGGGGCTTCCAGCAAGTGGGTGTGAATTTGAATGGGTAGACCCCCAGCGGACATCCGAATTCCATTGTCCAACCACACTTGACCAGCACCTTCGTGTTTGATTCTCTGCCTCGTAAGTCCATACACCAATTTCATATCTGACACATGTCCCTTCGATCTGCCCACCAGCCGAGCCCCCCCGCCAAAAGCCACCAACCCCCCCCCCAACCCCCCAACCCCCAAAAAACCGCTCAGTGGTCGGCGGTCGGAGCTCAGCCAAGGCGCTGAGACCTTCCAGAAAGGGAAGAAGGTGCCCAAGGCCAAGCAAGGCTTCTCCCCCAACTTCCGCGCCATTGCGCCCTCGACGAGATGACTCGAGCCGAAGGGGTCCGAGGGGGTAGGTTCGGAACCAGAACCGAATGGACGGCGGCGGTTTCATTCGGAACCGAGGGGAGTCGGGCGGTTCCTCGGGTGTTTGTTTGCGGTTGTTCAGGGCTCCTTAAAAGACCAAAATAAAGGGAAACCAGCATTTACAAGGCAATGTTCAGGTGTATAATGTAAGGATCCTTGTTGTTAGCTGGTTGAGTGCTTGGGTCCTTAGGTTTTGGTGGTTTTTGCTGGTTTAGTGCTTGGGTGTCCGAATTTCACCCACTAAAAGATGGTGACTGTTTACTGGGGATCAGGTTGGACAGCCCAGGAACTGGCCGTGGTTTCCTTGTGGCTCACATTCCGAAAACAGCCCAACACGCATTGCCAGATGATCGTTGTGTTCTGCGGTGCCAAACAGATTCGTGTCCTCTTCGTCGCCAGTGGGTTGATCTGGTCACCAAACTCTGAGGTCTACTCTAAATGCTGCGTGATGTCAAGCACAAGGTTCGGTTGTTAAATCTCCAGACAACGTTGGGGGAAAGGAGAAACTTGAATGTGACAACTGCAATCATCTTCCGAAGTCAATTATCAGATGTGCTCTTTATGTTGCAAAAAGTAAAACCACACGGGGGTGTTGGCAAGTTGTGCGACCCTAAGGGTCCCGATTGATTTTGGGGCCAAAACCTGGGTTGTTTTTGAGGACCCATGAGGGGCCGGGGTTCTCCATTGGAGGGTCCTTGTCGGATCTGCATAGGGGTCATGACCCTTAGGGGGTGCCTGGATCGCCAATTGCTGCTTTTATCCATCTACTTTAGCCCAAAAATCAGCAACAGAGACTGAACAATAGGCAGCAACTTAGCTATCTAGGTCTTAGGGTAGTGTCTTTTTTTTGGGCTGACCAACATTGGTTTCTCTTCAACAGAAGGCGCCAAACAAGGCGGCACACGAGGTGCGTAAGACCATCGAGGCAGAGGCGGCGTCGGGGAACGCCTTGAAGCTCCTCGAAGCCTGGCGCGCCGAGGAGTCCTCCGCCCCCACGCCCAAGGCGCGGGGAGTGTTCCAGCAAGCTGTTCGGATATGGACATTTGTTAGTAACAGACAAACAGATTGTACTTTTTTGGCAAGTCCACCCAGGCGAGTTCACATTGCCAGACACCCCTCCAGTCGGGGGCTCAACCCCTTTTTGTTCCTTTTCTTGGGCTGGTTTGCCTTCAAACTTTCCTGAAATCGCTCCCCGAAAATGGCGGGGGGTCCTCTGGTTTTCCAAGTACCTAGATAGCCAAGTTGCTGCCTATTTTTCAGTCACTGTTGCTGATTTTTCGGCTAAAGTAGCTGGATAGCAGCAACTGGCGATCCAGGTAGACCCAGAAATGGGATGGGGGGAGGTTCCTCTTGGTTTGAAAAAAAAAGCCGCGAACATGGCTGGTTGGTTTATCCCAAGTGTCACTCCGCTCTTAGTTGGCGCTCTCGAAGTGGAGCTTCCGAAAATGGCAGGGGTTCCTCTTGTTTTCAATTAGACCAAGAATTGGAGGGGACGTTCCTCTTGATTTGAAGAAAGCTCCAAAATTAGGTGGTCTCCGTTTGGTTTGCCGCAACTTGGGCTTTCATTAAATAGGAGGCCGATGTTGGGAAACCAGTTCTGTAGTTCCCCGGAAACGTGGAGTTACACCATGGTGATAAACACATACCGTACTCCAACTGGAAGCACTGAAGGTAAACAACATACATACTGAAACCAAAGGATGCCAGATTTTCGTGTTTGCTTCCCAGACTTGCAGCGCCCAGTCAGGCCGAACCCAGACGTGTTTTTGAGAACGGGTCATGCAAGTCAACAGAAATGGGCGTCCTGAATTGTTCGTCAAAATGAGGAGCCTCCCGTTTCGGGTTGGCAAAAGGCAGAGGTGCTTGATTTGGGGGTGTCTTTTTTCGGGGAGGTGGTCCGTGTCCCTTGAAAACCAGCAAGGGGAGTACCTTAAGAAAGGCACGGCCTGATGAAACACGGGGCTGCGGAGCCCATTCTTTTGATTACGGAGGAAGGGTGTGTGGGTTGCGAGGGCTCTTTTATTCGGCGATTTTCTGTCCACCACCCTACTGGAAACCCCGGATGACAAGCGGGAGTTCTCCTTAGTAAGGGACATCACTTTTGGAGGGAATACCCCCCCCTTTCTTCGTAACTTGGGTTTATTCATCCAGGGTCAACTGTAATTTGGCTCTTGGCCTCATGAAACAAGCCCAAAGGCGAGCACCGCAAGCCGAAACCCCACAGGGCCAGCACCCGGGTCCCAACCGCAACCACAGCTTTTTGGACACTTGGGATTTTGGACATCAGTTGGGGGCTGCAGGGGGTTGCAACTTGATTGTTGGGTGGTTTTAAAGGGAAGCCAAAAGTATAAACCTGGCTTTGCGCAGAGCACGTTTTCTTCTGGCAGCGCATGGCTTTGGATTTGTTGGAAACAGTTCCAAGTCTTACAGGATGACCGGCACTTTGGGCGAATGACCCGCTCAGAAGAATGGGCGGTTGCCTTTTGTGTTCTCTTTACACCGCTCAGAAGGATTCCGCAAGCTAGGACACCCACCCAACTTTGTGTCAAAACAAGCCCAACCTCCCGATTTCGAACGGAAAACCGTCACGTTTCAGGAGCTCTTTGACGTAGGCCGCGAGCCTTCCGAAACCTAGGCGCCTCAGCGGTACCAGCCGGTTTTTTTGTTTTTTTTTCTTACGTTGGGCGTTTGGACATGGAACGTGGGGGGATAAATGGCCATCAGATGCTTTAGTGACCCCAAACAATTTGTTGAGTCACCCCTTTTTGGGGGGTTCTATTGAGCCATGTGACCGCCGTGGCCTGTTCCAGCCAGTTAACATGGTTGTTGTTGGGAAACATTTTGCATGTTTGCTTCTTGTGGTTCAGTGGGAAATCCCCACTTAACTGCTAAAAGAAAAAATGCTCCCCTTCCAACGTCAACCAAGTTAAAGGGGGTGGGGGGTTGAGACTCGGCGACAGGACCTTCTGAAGCCGGTGGTCCAAGCCTTCCTCGACGCGGACGTGGAGAACATCGACCAAGTCATCGAGCACCTGCACGCGCACAAGGAGCGAGCGGAGCGGGAGCGGAGCGGAAGCGGAAGGGCCGGCTGTGGCTCAAAAGCAACGACTTAGGGTAACGACTTGGGAGGTAGCTCAAGGAAAACCGAGGGGTGCCTGCCATTGTTTTTGGGGGGGGTTCATATGGGTGTGGCTCAACATTCAAGAGCTAGGGCAATCCGCAGGTTTTAGCCTTTGGTTCCATTTTCCAAGCTGCCGTTTTGGTACATGTTTTTAGCCCACAGCCTTTGGGGAGCGGAACGGAGAGAACTGCTCATGCATGACTCTTCAGCCATGTTGTCTCTCTTTCCCGGCTCAGGGACTTGAGGCTGTTTGGGTTTGGACCATTTTAGTCGCAAGCAAGTAGTTCGGTTCCTTGCACCTAAAAGAGACCTGCCACGGCGCCGAATGATTCATGTCCACCGCCAAATGAAGTGGTTCCGACTCTTAAACATGTGCAGCCAATGGCATCATGGATAGTTTGTGCATTTTAGTTCACCAAGGCTAGAATGAAGCGAGCTCATTTTGTCGCTCAGCTGAGATAGGAATGAAGGTCACATTCTGAGTTAGCCTATTGGGCGCCTTGAAAATAAAATGCCTGCCCACATATGGACCCCAGACAGTTCCAAGTTCCAAAGTTCGGGAGGGCATCCATTGAAGCGCAGGGGACCTCCACGCGCTCGTGGTTGCATTTGCCAGGAAGTCTTCAAGTCACACATCAATCCTTACTCTTTAAAAAAAAAAAAAAACGGATTTGCGTGGTTTGCATTGCGGCTTCCCAGGGATTTTGGAGGGATCCCTATTTTGAAGAACCCAGCTGTTTAGGGACTTGCGACTTTCCATTTCCCTAACCACAAAAAGTGAGACTTCCGGAACAGAATGGGGATCAATCCCTAGCAAATGACCTTCACGGTTGCTGGCATGTTTTAGGTTTTTGTTGTTTTTTTGGAGCAGGGGGATGCAAGCAACACAAGTTGCTTGCTACCACCCCTCACAGTACCGTACATGCCCCCCCCTCCCCGCCCCACCCCACGTGCTGGACAAATCAGCTCAATCAGTTCCCCCCCAGAAAGAAAAAGGCGGAACATGCCAGAACACTCCTCAAAATGCTGCCAAACGACCAAGCCAAAGTGAAAAGAGGCCAAACAAGCCGGCAAGCAAAGCCAACCCAAGAACCCAACCCAACAACCATGCCCAAAAAACTGACTGGCAAACCACCTTCACCAAACCTTCCCAAACAGCCCGAAGCCAGAAAAAAACCTCCCAGCCCAAGGAAAAATTGGAACTGCCCAAAAAGCCAAAAAGCCAAAAAAAGACATCACTCCAACCCCAGAAACAAAAAACCCCAAGAAAGCCTCCGACCAACAACAAACTGCCCAAGCCTAACCCGCACCACCACCCCCCCCTTCAAAAAAAAGGAAACCACCCCCTCGGCCGAACGCTCGAGCCGCCGAGCCGAGCCGCGTGAGGAGTCTTTGGGCAGCTCTTGGGCCTGCACCTTGGTGTTGGACACCGTGGTGCCTCGGATTCAACAAGACGAGTCCGTTGGGGAAGTCCGTTGGGGGTAGTCGTTGGGGGGGGGGGGGGGAGCCATGGGTTTGTCCACTTTTGTTTGTTTTTCTCGTTTTAGAGTTGGTGCCTTCCTCTTGGCCATGGTATTTTCCTTCTTGTTGGGTGTTGGAGGGAAGGGGAGTCGGGGGATCCATGTTTCTGGGCTATGGTTTAGGAAGCTTTTGCGACGCTGAGCCTTTTGGGGGAGCGCGGTCCATGAAGTCTCTGACCAAAATGGCTTTTGCTGGTCGTTCCTTACTGAGAGCCATTATGTTTCTGGGTGAGTTATAACAACCTCACACGACCAAAAACCCAAAAATGGTGGTTTATGTGGGGAATAGCCCCCGAACCACCTTATTTCTGGCTGGTGAAATAGTATAATTCACCAAGATGCTTAGGGTCTGTCCACAACTTTTTGCTTGAGTTGGTACCTTTGCTGGCACCCCCCTTGTTTGTTTTTCTTTGGTATTTTTGTGGTGTTTGAGGGGAAGCTAAAAGGAAAGCCAACCTTTGAGGGGTCCAACCTTAGAAAAGACACCCTTAACTTGGCTTGCTTAGTTACAAAAAGGCGTGTCTTAAAGTAAGGGACTCCCGAACATGGTGGGCGTTCCTTTCGATTCCTTTGAGAAAGGGCCAGAAGGGGGTGCCCTCAAGAACATATCGCATCCAGGCTCTAGGTGGTTTCCTGGGTTCCTTCTGGACCATCCAGAAAGGGGTCCCCTATTTGAGACACAGCCATTCGTTGGCTGTTATTTTTATGGTCGTTTCTTCCAGAGGGGGAGTTGGGGTGCGGGGTTTCGACAAGGAAGCGAGCGGAGGGAATCGAAGGGCGATTCAAATCTCCAGAGTTGAGAACTGGAGCCAATGAAACGGGTACGCTCGAGGCTCGCTCCGGGAACGTGAAGGTGATGATGCAGCTCTGGGATCTTTGCCAAAAGAAGTTGAACCTCTCCCGCAGCTGCTCCATGCATCTCGTCCAATCGGGCAAAACCTCCTTCTTAGTGTTCTGCATAATGTATGGCAAGCTCACCGATCCGAAGGGTAAAACGAGCGAAAGCCATGGCAAAGATCCTTTACTTGGGGATCCCTTATTTCAGGTTCTGGATAGATTGTGAAATTTGCGGATAGTTCTACATCTTCGTAGAGTTCAGTACCGGGCCTCTCTTTGTTTTTGGGGGGGGACACCCCGTTCTTGGGTTGGCTTTCAAGAGCAACCAAAAAGAAACCGAAATCCATTTTGGGAGTCCAAGCTGTTAAAAGAAGAGACACCCAACTATACCTTTTTGGGCACATGAAAGACGGGCTCCGTTTCAGGTTACCAATCCACAGAAGTGAGGTAAGGATTTGGGGAGGTTCTCCAAATAACTTCGGGGGTTGAGGTGTCACTTGGAGCCCAGTAGCTCAGATTCGTTCACCTCTTGCTTTCTGATTGAACACCCAAGAATTGTAAGTGCATTCCAGCACGCCCCAACTGCTTTTTCCCATGTCCAAAATCCCGACTGCCCAAAATGCAGCGGTTGCGGGGTGCTGGTTGGATCAATATTTTCACGAGCATGACCTAACGCATGCTTGAAGAAACAGTGAGTCGCATTCATCCACGCAAGTGGCTTGGGGTCTGTTTGTCCCTGAACTGCATCGGGGTCCTGGTAGTTTTCGGGTTCCGTCCAAAAGCTGCTATGGACCCAGGTGTTGTTTTTCTTGTTTCGTTGCAGCTTCCCTTGACAAGGGACCCGCCCACGCGCTCGAGCCCTCGCGGGCGAGCGATAGGTACGAGGTGATCCTGGGAGGCTTCGCCTCAGCTGGGCACCCCGAGAAGGTCAAGGACTTCGAGGCCGGGTGGCCATCGGTTGGTCGTCCCGAAAGGAGTTCCCTGATCGGCCAATTTGCTTAGGAATATTTGCTGTTTTCCCTTGGTGGTGTTAAAGGGAACCTGTCACTACTAGCTTTTTGGCTTTTTGTGCCTTTTTTTTTTTTTTTTTCGGGGGGGGGGCCTAAGCAAATGGGGGTGATGGGTGAGGTACCCATTCTTCGGGGTGGCTGAACGGGAAATCCAAAGGAACCCCGTGATGTTGGGAAACCAAAAGGAATACACGCAAAATATGCCCCGCATGTGGGTGGTTCGTTTGTTGTTTGTTCTTTTGGCGAGGGCCCCCCCAGCCCATGTTTTTGGTATTGGAAGGGAACCAAAAGGAAAAGAAAACCAGTCATTGTTGGACGGTGGTCCCATAAACACACACGACCTCATGTGGACCTCATGGGTTGTCTTTGTTTTCTTCTTTCTTTTTCCGGGGGGAGGTGATTTCGTGTGTTTTTGTTTAACCATCTCTTCCGGAGTTTGTGGACTTTAAACTTTGTTTGAAGACCATTTTAGCCAGTCATTTTTTGGGGGTTCCAATCCACGCAACCAGAAGAAAGCCGCGGGTCCATAGCACCCGCTGCTGCTTGGATAGTGGAGAGTTTGGACATGGGAAAAAGCAGCTGTTGGGGGCGCCACCAACCACCCCCCCCCTACTAAATCCGTGGCCAGGTTGGAATTTGTCCAAATGAGAAAGTTGTTGGGGGTGCCACCAACCACCCCCCTACTAAATCCGTGGCCAGGTTGGAATTTGTCCAACCACCCCCCTACTAAATCCGTGGCCAGGTTGGAATTTGTCCAAATGAGAAAGTTGTTGGGGGTGCCACCAACCACCCCCCCCCTACTAAATCCGTGGCCAGGTTGGAATTTGTCCAAATGAGAAAGTTGTTGGGGGCGCCACCAACCACCCCCCTACTAAATCCGTGGCCAGGTTGGAATTTGTCCAAATGAGAAAGTTGTTGGGGGTGCCAATTTGTCCAGTTGTTGGGGGTGCCACCAACCCCCCCTACTAAATCCGTGGCCAGGTTGGAATTTGTCCAAATGAGAAAGTTGTTGGGGGTGCCACCAACCACCCCCCTACTAAATCCGTGGCCAGGTTGGAATTTGTCCAAATGAGAAAGTTGTTGGGGTGCCACCAACCACCCCCCTACTAAATCCGTGGCCAGGTTGGAATTTGTCCAAATGAGAAAGTTGTTGGGGCCGCCACCAACCACCCCCCTACTAAATCCGTGGCCAGGTTGGAATTTGTCCAAATGAGAAAGTTGTTGGGGGTGCCACCAACCAGCCCCCTACTAAATCCGTGGCCAGGTTGGAATTTGTCCAAATGAGAAAGTTGTTGCGGGTGCCACCAACCACCCCCCCCCTACTAAATCCGTGGCCAGGTTGGAATTTGTCCAAATGAGAAAGTTGTTGGGGGCGCCACCAACCAGCCCCCTACTAAATCCGTGGCCAGGTTGGAATTTGTCCAAATGAGAAAGTTGTTGGGGGTGCCACCAACCAGCCCCCTACTAAATCCGTGGCCAGGTTGGAATTTGTCCAAATGAGAAAGTTGTTGGGGGTGCCACCAACCACCCCCCCTACTAAATCCGTGGCCAGGTTGGAATTTGTCCAAATGAGAAAGTTGTTGGGGGTGCCACCAACCACCCCCCTACTAAATCCGTGGCCAGGTTGGAATTTGTCCAAATGAGAAAGTTGTTGGGGGTGCCACCAACCAACCCCCTACTAAATCCGTGGCCAGGTTGGAATTTGTCCAAATGAGAAAGTTGTTGGGGGTGCCACCAACCAGCCCCCTACTAAATCCGTGGCCAGGTTGGAATTTGTCCAAATGAGAAAGTTGTTGCGGGTGCCACCAACCACCCCCCTACTAAATCCGTGGCCAGGTTGGAATTTGTCCAAATGAGAAAGTTGTTGGGTGCCACCAACCAACCCCCTTCTAAATCCGTGGCCAGGTTGGAATTTGTCCAAATGAGAAAGTTGTTGGGGGTGCCACCAACCAGCCCCCTACTTGGCCAGGTTGGAATTTGTCCAAATGAGAAAGTTGTTGGGGTGCCACAACCAGCCCCCTACTAAATCCGTGGCCAGGTTGGAATTTGTCCAAATGAGAAAGTTGTTGGGGGTGCCACCAACCCCCCCCCTACTAAATCCGTGGCCAGGTTGGAATTTGTCCAAATGAGAAAGTTGTTGGGGGTGCCACCAACCACCCCCCTACTAAATCCGTGGCCAGGTTGGAATTTGTCCAAATGAGAAAGTTGTTGGGGGTGCCACTAACCAGCCCCCTACTAAATCCGTGGCCAGGTTGGAATTTGTCCAAATGAGAAAGTTGTTGGGGGTGCCACTAACCAGCCCCCTACTAAATCCGTGGCCAGGTTGGAATTTGTCCAAATGAGAAAGTTGTGGGGGTGCCACTAACCAGCCCCCTACTAAATCCGTGGCCAGGTTGGAATTTGTCCAAATGAGAAAGTTGTTGGGGGTGCCACTAACCAGCCCCCTACTAAATCCGTGGCCAGGTTGGAATTTGTCCAAATGAGAAAGTTGTTGGGGGTGCCACTAACCACCCCCTACTAAATCCGTGGCCAGGTTGGAATTTGTCCAAATGAGAAAGTTGTTGGGGGTGCCACTAACCAGCCCCCTACTAAATCCGTGGCCAGGTTGGAATTTGTCCAAATGAGAAAGTTGTTGGGGGTGCCACTAACCAGCCCCCTACTAAATCCGTGGCCAGGTTGGAATTTGTCCAAATGAGAAAGTTGTTGGGGGTGCCACTAACCAGCCCCCTACTAAATCCGTGGCCAGGCTGGAATTTGTCAATTTGAGTCTCGGGGCTTCCATGATGTGGGTGTCAAATTATGCATTCGGACCCCCATGTTCCCTGCTTTGCTTTTCCTTCCCAAGAATTGGGCACCAAGCCTCAACCCCAAAACTCCCCAATCTCAACCAGGACCCCCCAAGGGCTACCAAACGCTTTCGGTGAGCTTCCTTTTCGGGGCTATTCTGACCGGGGCAACGAGTTCCGCAGAGCACGCGAGGCATTGATGAGCAAGGACCGGCTGAAGCTTTCGCCCCGCGGCCACTCGCTCATCATCAAGGGCTTCCTGAAGAATGGCCACTTGGACTGGAAAGTTCCGAGGCTTAGGGCACCTCCAAAAGTGGCAACCGATCGGTTCAGTGAAAAAAAAACACCATTGTTCAACTTTGGATTCGGGGAATTCCGGGCAGCCCCTGTTGCTTTCACAGTCCGACTTTCTCCTGGCGTGCAACTGCTCGTTCCTAGCTTCTCCCTTGTGTCCCAGCTTTTCCCTAGATGTGTCCTCACTGTGTGTTTTGGGCTTTTTGTTTTGTGGCTTGTGCTGTGTTCTCTAGCGTTTATCGTTGTTGGGCGGGCTTTGCTGCAAAATGATGTTCCATACAAACCGACCCTTCGCAAAGTGGCGATGGCGTCTTCAATGCCACCGGTTCCACTCGCTTGTCTCACCAAGAGGATATTTTTCGCCGATCCGCCGGCCGTGTAGCGTTCGAAAGTTCGCTTTCGCCCCAGGCCTGGTGGGCGAGGTGCTGCCGCGCATCGTGGCCATGACAAGCCTGGGGCATCTGGTGCCGGCCTTCGCGGTGGCCCAGTTCCTGCGCGTGGCGGCGGAGCAGGGCCAGGCACCCCAGATGCGCCACGGCCGCATCGATGGTTTTTCCGGGCGAGTCGGGTGGTGTCCCAGGCTGGGGTGGGGGTTACATGGAATCCCGTAAGTGAATATAATATATATATATATATATATGAATATATGAATATGTATATATGTATATTATGCATATCATCCCCCCTAAAACCTAGGTCTACCAACCCTAAGTCTCGGGTATTGGTGTTTACCAATCTTGCTCGGTTTTCAAAGAGGAAACCAATCCTCGCTCGGCAATGTACAAATTGGTTTTTCCCATCTTGCTCGCTCAAAAAATAATAATATCAATGTTTGAAAGAAAACATTGATATTTAAATATTGATATGTTTACATGTGTTCATGTGATGAACAAGTTGCATTGTGTTTGTTCTTGGGGTTCCTGTACTTGGGACTGCAAAGTCCAAGGAAGGACTGCAAAGTCCAATGGGGTCAGGCATGGACTGAAAAGTCCATGCAGGATTGCAAACAAGGCCAGAGCAAGACAATCTTGAGCAGATTGTCAAATGCAAAGCTTAAGGATAGGATTGCAGATTGTCAAATGCAATGGCTGCACACACGGGCACCAAACATGGAGCAGAATTTGTTGATTGACACACTATTGCGCGATGTTCCTTCCAACAGTTTTTGCAGATGCTGCACATTAGAAATTGAGGACTCATCAGGTTGTGTGCTTGCTGTGTGCCACAAAGGTTGGTTTGCTGCAGCATATATTTGGCACTGCTGCCAACCAGCAGATCCCTCAAGCTTGCCAGGGATGCTTCAAGGAAGGCAACCATCAAGGGTGCTGCGAAGAGGTATGATTCAGGAGACCTTGAAACCAAACTGGCGGCTACATCAGGCACAAAGGGGTGGAGCACTGCTTCGACTTTGGTCCCTACAAGTCTATGCCTGCAGCTTTTGTAGCGAGGGGGAGACTTGATACAAGTTTATTGCATTTTATGGTTCTAGCATCTAGCTGCTGTGAAAATGAGTTTGCTTGCAGCACGCAACCCAGGAACCCACAAGGAAGGCTGCTACAGGTGGAAACTGAGAAGACCTTGGCTAACTTGGCCATCAAGTATGACTTGTGCCAGCAGCAGCAGCTGAACAACTACTCCCATGAGCTGTAGGAAAGGATGGCGGTGGTCCTTAGCCATGTGAGGCGCCTGAAGAACCCTGTGTTACGTGCCACCCTCACGCAGCTCGGTACCAAACCTGTGAAATTGGAGAAGTCATTCAAGGTCATGGATGACAGAGTTGTCACGTGCCATATCACTGCATTGCAGAGTGACCTCGCGCAAACTGATGTAGCATGGACTGCAATACCGGCCAAGGCGATTCTTGCTTGACTGTCACAGACCACAATCAGAGACTCCATTCGCTCCGTAGGGCAGAAGCTATAGAAATGCTAAGGGAGCCTGCAAGGTGCAAGACGCCACGTCGATCCGAATCTGGCTGCACGTCGGTGAGGCGGCCTTTGAGACTCTTCTTAGAGACATGACTCCAAAGGGTTGCCTCATCATGAACTCTCCATGCTTTGGGTCCGTGAGACCAGGGAAGAGGTTGAAAGTCGACTGCAGATCCTCCCACACCTTGGAGCAGCATTTCGAAAAGATGTGGCAGGCACTTCGCCCCAACGAAGAATGCCAGCCTCAGATTTCCATTTCCCACTTGTACAAGCTACTTGCACTCTCAGCTGCCATCACGGCCGATGGGCTCAAGAAGTTTGCAGAACAGGCCAGGCCCATCAAGAAGCTCAGCCCCACTGCGTGGTACTCTCATGACTTTATATGCATTGATAACAACACCGTCTTAATTCAGCCTGTTGCACCCAAGGGTTCCAAACATGACCACAATGTTGTTGTTGCTACTGCCGGCTTTAAGCGTGGCGCGTCTTCCAGCTCAGGATCATTGGCCAGTGGAGACCTGTCAAGTGGCAGCAGTGCAAGAGGGGCTTGACAGAAAAAGAAATTTCTGTGCTGGAAAACATGTTCAGCAAACTGGTGGAGGATGAACCTGCAAGGGCCTCCGTGCCTTCAACCCCCCAAAAGGACAAATCACACACACACACGCCAGCCTGATGACCCAGGTAGCTGCAATGACAGCAGCCAGGAAGAGATGGAATCACCCAAGAAATGCTCCAGCCAAGGCAGCATGGACAACCAAGGGTGCCATCAAAAGTATGTGGAAAAAACAGCAGCCAGCCCTGGTGCGCTAAAGAGGCGAGCCTCTTCAGCAGAGTACCTCTTCAGAAGGGAGGTGTAGGACTCTTCTTTGGCTGCCAGCCATCACCAAAGGTGGGGTCCAGCAGCCATGAAATTGCACACTGCCTTTTGGCATGATTCTTGCCTTCACCCCTTCACACATTGGATGCAGCATCCCATACCTTCTTGCCCTCCACATTGTTGGAAATGGCAGCCTTGAGGCGACCATTGACTGCAGACCATTCTGCATTATGCAGGGCAAGGCCAAGTCTAGCAAGTATGGGTCCAAGACAGTGATCAAGGAGATTGGCTTGTGCAGGGACAACATTGCAGGCCACATCAACACTTGCAAGAACTTGTACCTGCAGAAGGGCAACAAGGCAACTTATAAGCCTGGTCAGGAAAAGCTGTTGGAGGCATTGCTTCCATGGAAGACCACCCCATGCTGAACAAACACAACTGGAAGAGAAGGTGCATTCCTTTGCTACTGCATGCAGATGCAGCAGGGTTTCAGTCCACTGACAGCCTGATCCTGCTGATGTCTAATGGCATGGAAGAGCCTTTGTGGATTTTTTCCTAATCAAGAGCTGCACTGTTCATGGGCGGGATGGTACAGAACACACATTGTAGTGATGGGTGGCATGGAGCTTGAACGCCCTCCTACAAAACAAATGGCCTGACACAGATCCTTTGGATATGAACTCCAGCCCCCCGAACCACTTTTTTCCATGTGTTGAGAAGGAGATAACGCCAAACAATTATTTCGCAGTCCTGTTTGGCTTTTGGGTGGCATGGACTTTTTCCAAAATGGCTTGGGCATGAGGCACCAGGGCAGCAACACCCCTTGCTACGTTTGTGGTGCCAACAGGGATCGAAAGGACAAGCTTTGGAATGCTTTTGTCAGCAATGCCATGTGGAGAACTTCAAGAAGTCTCAGGCAGAGAAACCCAGCACACCCTATTTTCAAAGCCCCTGATCTGTCCATCTACATCTTGTGCCTTGACATCCTCCATGTGCTGGACTTGGGCTTCAGCAGCCATTGCATTGGCAATGTTTGCTTCGACTTTGCTTGCAAGGTTCCAGCTGGCTACTGTCCAAGTATAACTTTACCAATCCCAGGGCACTACCCTTGCCTGGCACACCTGAAGGCTGCCCAGGACCCTTGGCATCATAAAGGGTCTTTGCTTGCCACAAATTTTGCAAACTCTTGTGTCAAAGTTGACTCTAAGGTGAGGACTTTGGTGCCAGTATTTTCCAAGCTCTGCAGAGACTGATGTGATGGAAGCACTTACTCCTTGAAAAGGAAGGACGGGTCGCATGGAAGCTGCTTCGCAACAGTTCCTGGCTGCAGGGAAAGAAAAAGCATGCCAAAATTGCACTGAAATGAGCCAGCATTCAGTTCTTGACTCTGAACCCTTGCAATGTGTGGCGTTCTGGAAGTGAAAATTGTGTTGGAAGGCTGTCTGAGCTTGGCTCCAGCTGCCTGACAGGGGTGTCAACTTGTGACATGCCATTTTTGCTGTCAGAGAAACTCGAAGAACCAGGAGTGGTTGTGATGTGGGGCTGGGGGGTGCAAAGATCCCAAATTTAAGGTTCTTAGTGAGGAGGGCATTTGCCAACAGCTTTCAGGTGGGGCTGGGGGTGGTGGGAAGGTGGGGAATGACTGCAAAGTCATGTTCTCTGGTGGTGGGAGGGTGGGAAATGACTGCCAAGTCAGAAGGTTCCTCATTGCAAAGTCAAAGCAATTTAGGAAGAACACTTCTAAATAGCTAGTTTCTATCGAAGGTCAAATATTAATATTTTTGACAAACCAATCTTGGAATATTGATATTACACCACTTACCAATCCACGATGGGAAATACCAATCTCGATTGGTATTTTCCATCTCGCGCGAAAAAACAATACCGGAGACTTGGGGCAAAGGAACAAGGCCAGTGTTTGTTTCACTCTTGTTTTTCAATCTTTTGGGGGGTGCTGGTCATTTTCCGATACATACATATATATATATATATCTTTTTTATATATATATACATATTGTTTTGGGGGGGGGTACCATATATACATACACGGATGTGTGTTTCGGGAAGCCATTTGCTCTCTCTTTAGGCCGGGTTGGCGTGGCTTCCCTGGGTTGGGTCTGCCTTTTGAAGGAGCGGACAAGCCGTTTCAACAGCCATGAGAGTTCCCCTTAAAATTATGATGGTGGCTTATTCAAAATGTGTTTGTATGGCCACAAGTAATTCTTCCCCGAAAATGGTACAGAGTCACACCTGGCAAGAAGGAGCCCTCCGTACCAACTGATATGGGTTAGACATAGGCCACAACCTGCACATGGGTGTAGTTCCTCTTGAGGGTAATCTTTTGGGGTTGCTTGCAACCGGAAACCCTGCGATGTTGGGGCTCAAGTTGGGCAACTGCAAATGTTTTTTGGGAAGGTTCCGGTAGCCATGAACATTCTGAGGGTCTGGTGTTTTTGACTGGCAGCTTCTGGAGCCCCCAACATGGTGGTTATATTTCTTTTTGTTCCCCTTTTTTAAGGATCTCAAAAAAGAAAAAATGTGAAACAGACCTCGTCAGTGTTTTTGGAGCCCCAAAATGTGTTTTTCTTCCCCCTTTAAAGGATCCGACCTTCTCGTGATTCTCGTGCCTAGGTACGAGAAGCTCCTCGAGAACAAGGTGGCCCTTGGCACCGAAGCGGTCACTGTGATCCTCGAGGAGTGCGTGCGCCTCCGCGCTTCTTGGAGAAACAAAATCCCACGGGAGCGCGCTGTTTTTTTTTGTTTCTCTCATGTCTTGCTAGGAAAGTCTGACTTCCTGAGTTCTTGAAATTTAGTCACTTTTGGGGTGTGGACTTTCTCAACATTTAAAAGCTAGGGCAAACCGCAGCTGGTTCCAGTTGCCCAGGTGCCATTTTGGTACATGTTGTTTGCTACAGCCTTTTGGGGTCTGGACCATTTCAGTGGCAACGAAAGAGTTTGGACTTTTGGCCAATCCACTCAGGAAGTGAGAAGCACAAGGGGTGAAAAGTGAGGTAGCCTCCCTCCGATCAAATTCAAGCTCAGAATCGGAAGGTGTAGGAACAGTGCCTTGCTTTGACGATAGGAAAGAGGGCTAATTTGTGCCTGATCTTCATTTAGCTCCTTTGACGCCCGAAAGTTGCATGCAAGGTGCCCCTTAAGGACTACGCGGCCCTTTGGGCATGTAGCACGGGATGTGAAACGGATCCCTGGTGATGTTTGCTAACCCGAAACATGAGTCTCCAAGGCGGGGATTCCTATACTAGGTCCCCCAGCTACGTGCCCTTTGTCACCATTTCGTTTTTGGGGGAGGGTTCCCCTACCAAAATAGACTACAGAAAAAAGGGTACCCTTATTCTAACCTCTCTACTGGAGGACCTAGTATAGTAACGAACCCATGTGAATGTGGTAAGGTTGTTTGATGTAAGGTTGTTTGATGTAAGGTTGTTTGCTGAATGTTTATCCCATCGGCTTGCAGCTGACTCCCTGATTTTCCAGTTTGGGAGCATAGTTTGAGCAGGCAGATGCAGCCGTTGGATTTGTTTGTTTCCTTTTGGCTCTCTTTTGGCGGCGGTTTCCCGTGAATACCAACCACCTTTGTGTGACTGGAGACCAAGGTGACAAGACCTAGGGGTAAACATGGGTTTGCCTCTAAATAGGGGACCTCTTAAAGAGCCAAGAAAGATAGACGCGTGAATAAATCTTGACCAGACTCACAGGCATATGTATTGAGTGCTATCGGGTTGGATCTTTGGACTTTAACTTTTTGGGAAACAGTGAATTGTCCATTGAGCCCACGAAAAGTTATACTTTTTGCAGAGGTTTCCACGGCAACCAAGATGTTGGGTTGGGGGCAAAAGCCGAGGTTGGATGGGTGGAACGGAGTCAGGATCAGCCAGCATTTTTTGGAGAATGTTTTTTTTTGAGAGTCCAATGGGTTTCAGTGGTGTTCCCTCTTGCTTTCCACTCGAAAACCACAAAAGAAAGGGAGGTAGCCTCAAAACACGGTTTTGCCCCTGGTGTCCCTTCACCCCATTTCTTGGCCCGGGGCATGGATTCCATCGATGTCCATCCATAGAGCCGTCTTTTTTGGTTGATTTGGTTTCAAAATAGGTTGGGTGATTCCTGGTTTGCCTGGTTCAATCAACTCCCAGGGATATCCACATCGATTTTCCAACCTAAAAGGACTCCTATGCCACCTGGTTTCCTGAAAAAACACCTGTAGTTCTACAGGGCTCCTAGCGCAAATGGAAAAGATTCCCTGAGATCAACATCTATTTTCAACCAAAAAGGGCACCTATGGTTGTGAGGGTTCCACCCTCGAACCGCCCATCGATTTGCCAACCTAAAAGCACACCTCTGCAGCTCTTCCCTCGCTTCTCGCGGGGTCCCGAGGACCCCAAGCTGGCGCGGCGCGTGGAGCAGGCGGCCCGCGAGGCCAAGGTGAGCTTCTCGGTGCACGCCTACGACGCGATGCTCAAGACCTGCGCGGAGGACTGCGACGTGCACGCGCCTCGAACTCTGAAAGAAATGGCCATAGCTCAAAACCGTTTTGGAACCATCTTGGGATAGGTGCACCACCCATTTTAGTCTATTCAGTCTATTCTAGTGGGGATTGGGCTGTTCACTGGGGGTCCGGGGTTTTGACCAATGGCCAAATCGCCGGGGAAAAAATGGTCAAAAGGCTTGACTGATGGGGGGGGTCTTTCTCTGCGAATTGAGAGGGAACCTCAAAAAGGGGTACCCAAAACAGTGGTGTCCACAAATATTCCAGGTCCCCCAGTGCCCTTTCTCACCGTTTCTTTTTTGGTTGGGAGGGTGCCCCTAAAATAGACTACAGCAAAAAGTTGGTACGCTGATTCTAACCCCTCTGCTGGAGATCTGGAAATCTCGGAAGCCTGGGAGTCAGTTACCATCAGAATGGCTTGTTGCTCATATGGGTGTGGCTCAAATTTGAGGAGCTAGGGTTACGCAAGTTTTTGGCTTTGGTTCCATTTACAATGGGGCCATTTTGGTACATTTATTTGAGCCACAGCCATATATATATATTGTTTCCCGAAGGATGGTCATCCAAATTGGGTCCTTGCCTTTCTTTCTCCAATTTGAAAGAAACCGCGGGGAAAAAATGATCGGGGGGCGGGGGGCTGGGGTGAGGATACATGCCTCGACTCTCTCTGACTTGAAAGGAAACCGCTGGGAAAAAGGGGATACTCTCACCTGTTCAAGTCCGACCTTTGAATTTGTTGGTTTCCCATTTTGGTCCCTGCTTAGTCACGGCCCCAAAGGTGAAAGCCTTTGTATTTCCGGGTCCTTTGAGCCAACTGAGTATTGAGGTAGACTTAGGACACGTTTTAATACATTTTAAATCTTACCAGTGATTCAAATTGAAGCCAGCAATGCAATATACATTCTACAGCTGGGCCTAACTCTATATTCAAAGTGTTTTTGGGGGCATGTAGCTTTATCATAGCATGTTTCCATGCCACGGCCAATGCGCCGTTTGGCTCAAGCTTTTAACCACGTCGTTCCCTTTTGTGCTGTTTCGTCGACTCGTGCCATACGGCGCGGCACACCATCTTCGCCTCGGAAAAGGGCGACGCTGGCAGTGCTGCGGTTGGCTCCGGGTTGGAGCAGGTCACAGGCTGGGGGTGGTGGTTGCATTGGTTTGCTTTGCTTGCTTCGCTGCATTGTTTGCCTGCTTGGTTTGCTGCTTTGTGCTTGCTTTCGGTTGTCTCTGCCCTTGCTGGGTTCATTCATCATTTGGTTAAAGGCACCCTGTTTTGGTTCGTTTGTTGTGCCAGCCGGGGGCACCGCTTTGCCCTTGGGACTGGGGGACTTAAACAATCTCTTCTTGTTGGTGGGATTGGGCCTGTTTATTCTCTCCTCAAATACTGTTTCAAACCCTTTCGCAGGTTTTCAGCCGTAGGATTCGTCCTCGGTTGGCACCGCGAACCCCTTTTTAATAACAACCCTGCAGGCGCCGTTTTCCATAGGCTACTGTAGGACTCATGGCGGGAATCACTGAGGATGGACCTCATGTGGTGACCGATGAGTGGGTTCTCGGCCAGGCCGGAATCTTGGACGTTGTGAATGACGACCAAGTGCCCGGACAGCCGATGTTTTCCGGTCCTGACTTTCTGTCGGACCACACTTTTTCAGAAGCAATGCCTTCAGAGAGATCCAGTGCTACTCGCACTGATGATCTATCGTCTAATGCCTCAAGAGCTAATCGCTCTCAGGGTCGTGGGACTAATCGTCCTGACCATGATGATTCCGTCTCAGGACGTGATGATGACGAGCCCGGTATTGCACCTGGAGCTCAATCCTCATCTTTCCCCGAGCTGATGAATATTGGTCAGTCCGAGGTTCGTGACTCCAGAGGCAGCAGTAGACCTGTGCCAACCAGCAACATAGCTTTCCAAGTACTCGGTAATCCCGAGCCTGGTACATCCAGTGGAGTTGCATTTGACGTTCATCTGCCAACCACATCCGGTGGGCTAGATTGGAGAGCCTCATGGCCCAACGACGGAAACATTTTTGGTATGGATTTCGCCGCATGGATGCCAGGGCCACCAGCCCCGTCATCTTTCCCGCAATTCCAAAGCCCGAAACGGGCTGCTGGGAGCGATGAATTCACGCTACCTTTGTCGATTGAGAATCTCAATCCTGATGTGGCCAGCCGTAATGTCAGGCCAAGGCCGTCGGTAAACCCGACCATGAGGAACATGTCCCCTCCCCCAGGACTTTCAGGATTTGAGAGCCCTAGGGAGCGTAATATCGTAGATAGATTGGATTTGCATCCCAGTCCAACCCCAAGCAAACGATCAAGGTCAAACTCGACTGGATCGCATAGAGCGAGGGGGATGGATCGGGAAACTGCCCACAGGGGAAACCCCAATACGCGGGACTCAGGACGCGGTCGATCAGGTGACCCAGCGTCGATCATAGGAAGAGACCCGTTAAGCGCGGACACACTCGTTAACGTGCTTGATGGGATCGAAGCATTCCAGGAGGAGTTTAATAGGTCGAGTGGCTTGAATGCACAAAGTGTTCGCCCTACGCCCAACACGGCTTCCTTTTTCGCCCTGGACGACATGGACGGAGCTAATGTTCCGATAGAGTCCGAGTCCATGATGGCATCAAGTTCTAGTCGCAATCACACCGTCAGTAATGCGACTGATGTTGAGTCGATGTCTGAGTCTAGAGTGTCCAATGCGACCGACTTGAATGACATTGTTATTGCTGACTCGAAACCTGATGTTCCTATGCGAACTGATAGGCCTGTTGTTCCTAAACTGTCCGTGGCCAGAAGCCTGGGCATGACACAACCCTCGGCGGTTCGTGATGCTAGGAGGTCTGCGCCATACCAGAGCCAATCTCCTAATCGGAGTGAGTTCCCAAGGCCATCAACGGCCGTGCAGGATGATTTCAGAACTCCTCCGAGATCTAATCCAGTCATGATTGATCTGTCCACTCCTCGGGACCGTGGATCAAGGCATAGTCCAATGGGTGAAGACCAGCCCAATGAGGTTGCTGATCTTGTCACGGCCCTTGAAAGAGGGAAAGTGGACTCTTCCGTAAGTGCGATTATTCATCGCCTAGTTGCTAAGGTCGAAGACCTTGGGAATAGGAATGATAGAAGTGATCAATGCATCAGGCAACTAACCACTGAGGTCAACTCGTGGAGAACCAAGTACGACCAATGCGTCCATGTGAATAACACATGTACGCAGGCTGCAAATGCGTCAATGCAGCTGTCGCAAGGGGCTAGGGATGTCGTAACCGAGCTTGGCCAACGAGTCAAGATCATTTTCGATCGTATGACTAGCTTAGGCGACGCCCTGAATGAACGGGCCAGCTACGACGACGTCGCTCGATCGATCGTCCAAGTCCAAACTGTTTTTGAGTCTCTTTCTGATCGAGTTGCCGAGCTTATTACCCGTGTTGAAGCAATCGAGAGATCCCTCGTGGAGAGTCAATCCAATCATCCCGCGATTGGTGGTGTGAACCTCAAAATCGAGGATCTATCCGCCAGGATATGTAGCATCGACAGGATGATGCACAGTGCCGAACCGTGTTGGATTACCAACACGGAAGGCATAAAGTGGATCAAGGACCAACTCTGCGAAACGCAGACCAACTTAGAGGTCAAATCAAGAGACTGCAAGTCCTACACGGACAAGCAGAATACTCACAACATGGCTGTTTCGACTACGCTCAACAGCAAGCTTGAGCAGATGCTCAACGTGCCAAGTAGCACGGCCCAGAAAGTTAACACTCTCGAGTTAAAGTACTCAAGCCATGCATCGAGTAGTGGATTGAATGATCACGCAGGGGATAGACGCGCCACTTCCCGTACTCCGGATAAGCGGCCACCTCCGCCTAGTCCTCCTGATAATGATCCTCCACCGCCGCCTCCTCCTGATCGGCAAAGCCCGGGAGGAGGGGGAAAGAAAAGTGCTGCCGGTGGAAATCCTGGCAACGCTGGAGAGCCCAGGTGTAAATACATGGGTGATGGGCGCATCCACCTTGTTGCTGAATTTCGTTGCAAAGGATGCAAAGGTGCGATTTGCGAGTACTGTTTCTCGTTCAAAGAGGACTTGTGTGAAGAATGCTCCCGCGACGGACCCCGATGCGGTGTCTGTAGGGAGAGTTCGTTCCTGACCAAGGCAATCAACTGTCAATTTTGTGGAGGAGAAGGGACCCCGATGCTACTCGGGTTAGGAATAGGTCCCCTGGAGGCGCGCCTGAGACGAACCCCACGCGGTCGTACCCGCCGCCTCTGCGACCACCTGTTGATTGGTCTCGTGATATTCCCACTGAGGGTCAGCCCAATGCGGCAAGCTCTCAGGGCGCTCCAAAGGCTGCGCCAGCCGCAGCCCTGGATAAGCGTGAAACCGGGTATTATCCCGGTTACGATCCTAATGGTGCAAGGCTGAAGGATCCATCGGGCCTTGACCCGCCAGTCATGCGTGGTCCTGATCCTCCCGAGAGGAATTGTCGCATGTGTAATCGGGATATTCCTGACCCTAGCAAGATTGAGGATTGTAGGGTATGCATGAAAAGGGCATGCGAAATTTGCATTCCGAAGGCTACTCGCCTATGCCCTGTGTGTGCAATGTCAATTGGCAGCTCACAGGTGCCACAGCACCTGTTCGGAACAGGTGGTGGCGGATACAGTAGCCACCAGGATCCGAACTGCACAGCTGCGACTAAATGCATTTCCATTGACCTTCCAGCAGAGCCCGACGCGGCTGGCCTGAGGGTATGGATAGCCAATATGAAGGAAGCTGTTAGCAATGCCTACAGCTATGATGGACTATACGTCATTAATTGGCTAACCGAAGTTGAGAAGGCGAAGTCCTTTGAGGAACTAAATGGGGAATGCAGATATCACGTTCTTGAAGCCAGGTTCAATGCAGCCATTCGAAAGTGCATTAGAACTGTTGCGATCATGGACAAGATCAATCGTCTCACTGAGGCTGCTCAACGCGCCAACAACCGTATCA